CCCAGTGATCCTTATGTTGGCTCACTCTCCTTCCCTAGTGATCCATTCTGATTGGTTAGTTGAGTGATTGGCTGCCGCGGCTCCCCGCGCTGCGGCTGTGACCATGCCTGGCCGCCAGTAAGGTCTGTTCGTGACACGATGCCCCCTCTCGACGTCTTTCGCCCCGAAAGACCGCAGGCTCGGTTTCATATACTGCCAACGCCCATACTTGTGAGTGTCGCAGTTCCCTTCCTCCGCATCGCCAGGATGCTGACAAAATGACAGACCGCATTCGCAAACGACAATCTAAGAAATCCTCTGAGCGCGCCGCGCTTGCTGCTTTCATTGAATCCTCTGGCGTCGACGCAATGCCCTGCTCGTGGTGCTTTAAGCGAACTGTTCCTTGCCGCATGGCTGCGAGTTCGTCTCGTTGCGCCGAGTGTGTCCGCCGTGGGCGCTCTTGCGACGGTTCGAGTGTAGCTTCTGCTTGTCCGCACCCTCCTGTTCCGTTTGCCCCCTTCTTCCCCTTCGTACTGACCCTTTCCTTAGTGACAAAACTCATGTCTGAACAAAAACGCGTGGAGGATCAAGAGGCCGACGCAGAAGAAGAATTGTTCGTCCTCCAGACCCAACTTCAAACTGTCGTGGGTCGTCTGGCTCGGTTGCGCCGCCAAAAACGATTCTTGAAGGAGCGGGGTTCGGAGTTGCTTCGTCGGGGTTTACAGTCGCTGGACGAATTAGAGGGAGAGTTAGAGTCTTTGGAGACAAACGCTACCACCGACGCGCACTCCCTCGGGGTTCCTGCTTCCGTGGATTGGTCGTCCTTTGGCCTGGACCTTTCCGAGGCCGATCTCGCCGCTCTGGCTGATCCTGCTCCTTTGGACGGTCCGGGTTCCTCTGGTGAAACTCTCCCAGTTTCTCAGGGCAGTGGAGGTTCATAGCGGGCTCCCACGAGTTGTCTTCTGGGCCGAAGTCCAGCCATTTGATCAAGTACTGCAGCTGTCCCTCGTCCGTAATTCTTGAGTCCAAGACTTCTTCAACGTCCCATTCTTCTTCTTCATCTTCCGCCATGATGTCTGTGGCGAGTTTGACATTCTTGGGTGCTGGTTCCAAAAGTGAAATGTGAAAGACGTTTGTTCGTAACTTCATCGATGCTGGTAGCGACAGTCGATAGTTGGATGTCGAAATTTGCTCATCAACCTTGAATGGTCCAATCTTTTTGAAGTCCAGCTTCTTGCTTGGTCGCTTCGTGCGCAAATTCCGTGAAATGAGGTAGACCTTGTCTCCCCTCTCTAGGCGAGGACCCTCGAGCCTGTGTTTGTCGTAGTACTGCTTCATTCTGTCTCTGACAAACTCGAGATCCTTTCTGAGTGTGGCGTGAAGTGCGTGTAGTTGATCTGCCTTCACTTTCGCTCTGGGAACTGAGACTTCAGGTCCCCTTCGCAGGTCTGCTTCGTAGCCGTAGTTCGCGAAGAACGGTGAGACTTTGGTTGTCTCCGTGGGTGTCGTGTTGTAGGCAAGTTGTGCTGTTGGCAAAAGCGTGACCCAGTCGTTCTGCTGGAGATTGACGTAGCACCTTAGGTACTGCTCCACGATTTGGTTCAACCGTTCTGTCTGACCGTCCGTCTGGGGGTGGTAGGCTGTCGAAAGCTTGCTGTTCGTTCCGAGGCGCGTCATCAACGCCTGCCAGAATTTCGAGACGAACTTGGTGTCTCTGTCCGTGATCCATTCCTCCGGCCATCCGTGGACCGAGGTGATGTTCCGCAGGACCACATCCGCCAGTTGCTCCGCCGACCATGTCTCTTTGTAGGGGATGAAGTATGCCCACTTGGTGAATCGGTCCACCACTGTGAGAATGCTGTCGTACTTCACTCCTGTTGTTGAGTCCTTGGAGAGTGGCAGTTTGGTGATGAAGTCCATCGTCACCGAACTCCATGGTCGTTCTGACACTGGTAAAGGTTGCAAGAGTCCGTACGGCTTGTGTCGCGCCGTCTTGGCTTTGTTGCAAACGTCGCATTGACTGATGACTTCTGCGACCCGTTGTCGTAACAATGGGAATGTGTAGTGTTGCTTTACTTGAGCTACCGTCTTGGTGATTCCCATGTGTCCTCCGAGTTTTGACTCGTGGATTTGTTTGATGAGTTCTCGCTGCTCGTCAGGGGTCTCACAGCTGGTCCGCCCTGACCGCTGTTCTCTGAAAACCGCTCCAACTTCTCCAACATGTGGGGTATCCACACGGCGATCTCCTCGCGGTTGCGAGCTGCTAGCGTCGTAACGGCTGCTCTGCGGTTCGGGAGCATGGCTCTGTGTGTCGAGATCTTCTCGCGGTTGGGGAGGCGTAGCGTCATCGCAATCCTCCACCGATTGGGAAGCATGTCGAAGTGACCCATCCGGTTGTTCCTGGAAAAGTGGTGGCGAGGCTCTTACATTATTTCCGAAATGATCCGGCCGTCTGCTCAGCGCGTCTGCGCGTGCGTTCTCTGAGCCTTTCTTATAGTGAATGACGAAGTTGAATTCTGAGAGGAATTCTGACCATCGAATCTGTCGCCCATTCAGTTCCTTCGTGGTGGCGAAATATTGAAGGTTCTTGTGATCCGTGTACACCTGGACCGGGTACGTCGTGCCGCTGAGGTATGGTCTCCATTCTCTGAAAGCTTCAATGATGGCCAATAACTCCTTGTCGTGGATTGGATAGTTGAGCTGTGGTCCGGCCAGCTTTCTTGAGAAGAATGCAACCGGGTGGAGTCTGTCGTCCTCGTCCCGTTGACCTAGCTGCCCTCCGATCGCGTAGTCTGAAGCATCGGTTTCAACCTCAAATGGCTTCCTGGGGTCCGGTAACACAAGTACGGGGTCCGCAGTGATGGCATCGCGGATCCGTTGAAATGCCTGCTCGTGTTCTTCGCTCCACTGGAACTCGACGTCCTTCTTCGTCAAGTCGTGCAGAGGTCGTGCGATGTCACCAAAATTCTTGATGAACATTCGATAGAAATTGGCGAATCCAATGAATCCTCGCACTTCCGTGGTGTTTCTCGGCCTTGGCCACGTCCGAATGGCCTCGATCTTTGTTGGTTCCATGCGGACTTCTCCTGGCGAGATTTCGAAGCCTAGGAAAACCGTCTTCTTGACATGAAACTCGCTCTTGTCCTTGTTGACTGAGAGCTTGTGCGCGTGCAGTGCGTCGAGCACTGCCCTCACGTGCTTCCGATGTTCTTCGAGTGTCTTCGAGAAGATAAGGATGTCGTCCAAGTAGCAAACCGCAAACTTGTCAAGGAATGGTTGTATTGCGTGGTCAACAACCGACTGGAAAGTGGCGGGCGCGTTTGTCAATCCGAATGGCATGACAAGATACTCGAAGTGCCCGTACGGCGTCCTGAACGCCGTCTTCCACTCGTCCCCTTTCTTGATTCG